CATTTCACCAGCGATAGCCACGGCCAGAGGCACTGTATTTTTGGGTTGTCCATCCTTTTGTCTGCCCCACTCTTGTGAATACGTTATCTCAAGAACACTTTGAGGGAATTTCTTAAAATTTGGCACAAACGTCTTCTTGGACTTAAAGATGAACTGAGATTTTGGCGGTCAAAGGTCAAGGTCACTGTGACCTCACAAAACATCTTTTTTGGTCATAACTCAGGAATTCATATGCTAATTACAACACAATCACATAATTAGTAGGATAACATAATGATTACATTTTATATACAAAAGGTCAGAGGTCATCCTTGCTGTGACATCATGTTATGCAAGATAATGTTCTGCCCACGACTCAACGTCATAACTCAGGAACAGAAGGGGAGACATTTGGTCAGATACTGAATTGGTGACTCTAATCTTAGTGTCCATCTTGAAACTGTGCTGATTGTACAGATGTTCTGTGCTGTTGTGTTGAAGGTGTGTGTGAAGCATCCATGTCCAACTGTCAGTGCAACTTGACGGGTTAGCAACGTCATACAACTGCAAGGGAGTAGCTGTAGTTTAAAAGACAGCCAGATGACCATGGGAGCATTGGACAAGCGATGTTATCAGTGTATACTCAAACACTGTGTAACAGTGTGATAGCCAGCTGCCACAGCAAGCCTACAGGTCACATAATGACACTTGAGTAAACTGCATGTGCTGATGAAGACGATGGTGGCATGGGGTTTAAAGCTTGCTCCTTAAAATTCTTTATTACTCTCGCTTATGACTTATGACTTTCATAAACATTAATAATAGTGAGCACAATCTGATGCAGCTGTTTGCAGAAGTGTCCGTAGGTCACTGTGTGGCTCATATTTTAAGTCATATCAAGTACAACCAGGATAACGTTTATACCTTTAGTTTATCAGGAAGTCCCACTGAGATCCTTTTGTTTTTTACAAGAGAGACCTGAAATATCAGCCTTTTGGACATGAAGCTGATCAGTGGCGTGTTATCGTCTGCTCTCTTCCTGGCTGCTCTGTCGACTCTGTGAGTCACTTCCAGTGTTTTCCTCACATCTCGTCCATGTTGGCGAGTGTTTTGTGTCAGCTGAGAGTACTGACAGCTTCACAGATGATCTGTAGCCAACCGAGGTGGGAACTATTAACCACAGCACTGAGAACTGACACTGCCAATGTGTGTGTGTGTGTGTTTACACTTCAGTTCACTGCTGAGCTCAAAGAGAGGCGTGAACGATTGCGAGTCTGAACACATTTCTATATCACCTCTTTAGCTGATGGCATCATGCAGTGACTCTGTGCAGACACTGAACTTCACAACACAGTTTTTACTCTTTTCTTTTGTTCTTTGTTTTTAGCAACACTGCCTGACATTAACTCAACTGGGGTTTGATTCTACATGACATGTCTCAAACACAGGGATGATTCTTGTGGTGGAGGCAGTGTCATTCAGAAAGTTCCACAGTCCACTGTAGCTGCTGCTGCTTTAAGAATTTAACCAAATTGTAGGAACAGATGAGGAGAATCTTAACACACTTTAAAAGTTCATCACTCTGATTTCATTAAAATGTTCTGGTATGTTAAAATGTTAAAGGTAATGTAATGACATCGTGAGCAGAGGATGAAGTCAAGCTCCCTCCGTGTGTGTTGTAATCTGAGTTTCTCTGTTCTTTGTGGTGGCTGACAGGACGGCTGCATGTGTATGTGAGTCCCACTCTGTACTTACCACTGACATCCAGACTGTGGCATCACAGAGGGGCAGGACCAGGGCTTGACAGTGCGAGCGTTTCACTTGCATTTGCGACTAAAAATAGGTGTGTGCGAACTGTAAAAAATATTTAGGGGCACCTGTGTGCATAAAAAAATCAGGCGAAGCAGCCTATATTTTTGTCAATAAAAAAATATGATAATCTAACCGCAAATGTTGGAGGAACTCCAGCTGCCTTCCCTCTTCCCCGTGTGACANACTTGCATTTGCGACTAAAAATAGGTGTGTGCGAACTGTAAAAAATATTTAGGGGCACCTGTGTGCATAAAAAAATCAGGCGAAGCAGCCTATATTTTTGTCAATAAAAAAATATGATAATCTAACCGCAAATGTTGGAGGAACTCCAGCTGCCTTCCCTCTTCCCCGTGTGACACGGTTAAGAGCCACACCGCCCGCGGAAGCGCTGATGGAAAAACAGCCCCAAATGTGACGGAGACAACAGCTGGGAGCAGAACCGCTTGTCGACCAGCGTGGAGAAATTCGTGTCTGATGTGAACGGAAGTGCTCTGGCTCGCGGGAGAATTTCGGTGCGCTGCGCTTCACAGGCAGGGCAGGCCCTGGCGTTATGGGCGGTATTCCAAGCCGCTGTCGGCACAATGAATATAACGGCCGGGCTCCACCGGGCACGTCAGCGGCATGACACGTCTGCAGCGCGAGTCCCGTAGCAGCTCGCCCCCCTGTTAATCAATTACAGCGGCTCCACTGGCAACGGGAGCGGCGCGACAACCCCCGTCTGTCGCGCGACAACTCTCTATTTTACGCAGCTCTTCTATTTTTGTCGCGCTACGCTCCCCTACGCGACCCTCCTGCAGATAAAAACTACATGAAATAGTGTGCTAAACGAGCACAATGTGTTTTTAAATGAATAAACCATTATCAGAGGTGATATGTGATGATTTTTTTTTGTTTATCCGTGACATTGTGTAAATGTCCGTGGCGGACATTTGAAAGCGAGTAGATGACAAACAGTACAGTAAACTTGTAGATAACTCAAATATGTGTAGTAACTTAGGTGGAAAATGCTTTAACATTTCTTTCAGCCTACATGCAGCCTCTCGGCTCGGCGGTAAACTTCCTTACGCAGTCAGTGGAGCCCCAATGAATACGCCGCGATGCTACGCTGACGTGACGCTTACGTTTGCAGCCGGTGGAGCCCGGCCGCACGTCCCACTGTCGGCAGCGTGGAAATAGAGTTAGAGTTTCAGAGGACCTGGAGAATGTTTCAAAGATAATATATATAAGATAATAACATTAAAGACAAAATTAAATTGCAATACTTTTTCAAAACTTGATGATTTTACCTTTCTGTACATTTTGTATACAAATTCATTACACAATTTTGCTTGTAAATGTCTATTTGCATCACGTTTATTACGGAAAACACATTATTTGATCAATTTATATTGTGCCCCTAAAGTTCTTTGTGCGCTCCTTACTTTTTCAACTTAGGAGCACATGTGCTCCTAGGTTGAAAAAAGTTAGCGTCAAGCCCTGGGCAGGACCCACCCTCCGGTTCCTCCCTGGTTATTGAACATCAGCTCTGTCGGCCCTCACTACGTTTACATGACACCAGAGAAAATCCATTTGTTGTGTCAGTCCTACCATTACTGGACTTTTAAAATCCATGTAAACGTGTTAGTTCAACTGAAATTGTACAAAATCTAATTTCTCAAAGTGGGACTAACACACCCAGGTCATGTGACTCTTGCATGTATACAGTCAATCAGACCCAAACTGGCCGAGGCGCTCTGAGCATGCTCCACAGTTTCCGCCCCGGGCTTTGACCCGGAAGTCCGTAGCTAACTTGTTTGTCCATTGTTTGGTCTGTGACGTAATAGGTCAACAGGAAAAAGGTCCAATACTAACAAGCTGAAAGGGGGCATATCTCCACCTATCGTAGAGGAGTCGCACATACTTTGCTCAATAAATGGATTCCCCTCTCGTGCTTGTATACTGGGACAAGGACAGTAGGCCAGTTAGATGTCCTCGTCGGGCTGGGACTGTAGCTCCACTTCACTGTTTCCATGGAAACACACTGATTGTTGTGGTTGTTTAGTGCTATTTATGGAGTTAGCACCATTACCTGCCCGCTGAGGGCTCAGTTACTGCCATGCTGAGAACTGAATTCAAAAGATCCTGCCCCAGACTCTGAATTTAAAATATGCTCTGTTTTGTATGTTGCACACTGTGCCTTTAATTTGTTTTAAACAGGGGCTATGAGGGAGATAATTCACTGTAAATATCATAAATATCCTGACATTTTTGGCGTTGAATTACATTTTGCAATTAAAATATTTTCCACATTTCATCACTTCTTCTTTAAAGGTCAGTTTTATCAGATTAGTTTCTCTGCTCCTGAATTAGTGATAGATTAACATAAGTTTTTATTCTCTTGTACTATTTTCCCTGACTTTATTCTCTCCTCTCATCAAAGAATTTGTACTTTACTTTTGACCAAATCGTGGGGACAGTTTTCTGATGGTGGTGTTTGAACATCTGTTTGAATCTTAAACCTTAAATTTCTTTTTAAGGTCCTGAAAGTGAAGATGAGTTGGAATCAATTATTTTGAAATTGCAAATAACTTCAGTCCACTTTTTTAGGTAATGAAATTGCTGGAGTCCTGTGGGCATACAGTACTTTCATTTTGGATGAACTAAAACAATTTGCATCTGAAACTCACAGTCAGTGCCAGTGTGTGTCTTTTACTGTATGTAGAGAGCTAAAGGACAGCCTCATCTTTTTGTGCCTCAATTACTGAAGATATTATGTTTTCGGGTTGTCCTTCCCATTCGCCATATCTCAAGAGCACCTTGAGGGAATTTCCTCAAACTTAAGACCAAGGTCTACAAGGACTCAGTGATGAACTGATAAGATTTTGGTCAAAGGTCACTCAGGAATTCATTATTTAATGAATGGTGACATAAATCCACTTGAATTGGATAAAATGCTGACGTGATGACATTGAAATTCAGTGCAGGAGTTTTTCTACAAGTTGTGTTCTGCCCAGACAGAAGACAGAAGATGATTAAAGACAGACTTGAAATAATGTGCACGTGTACCTTCAGGTGAAGGTTGTGAATGAATGTTTCTCTTTATGCTGCTCTCAGTTCATGTTGGCTTTGTTTAAAAAAATAAATAAAATATACGTCCAACATCCGTCATAAACATTCACTGTGGGAAACAGAGTTTTTATTCCTCTTCCTTTCCTGTGTTTCCTGTTCAGGTCTGGATCCGTCTCAGCGTCAGGGGGTGGAGGAGTTGATCTCTGCAGCTCCATGTCGCTTCGACCACGCTGCCCTCTTCACCATCTTACAGAAACACACTCTGCAGCACCGCATGAATGACTCCTTCTCCTGCCTGGTGCGTTAACACCAACACATCATCTGACACACTCTTAGGTTATCACTTGATGTCAGTCATTGTTGCCAGTTAGCTCATTCAGAGATCTGCTGTCAGTCAAAGTGGGAGGTGGGACTGACGTTGCTGATGACGTTTGAGTTTCTAAAGGTAATGCTCTGTTTCTTTGCTCAACACTCTTCTGTTGTCTTTCTCAAACAAATATTTAATATAAGCAACGTCACATTATAAATCATTTTTTCTAGTGACAGTTTAAAGTTCAAACATCGAACCACAATAAGCAGAGTTAAGTATAAGAGGAGGAGGGTGAGAAGTTTAATACAGTCATTGCTTTTAAGTTGAAAGGACATCATGTTGAAGGTGGTGAGAAGTTCCTGGGAAGGAAATCTTTTCTAAAACAAAAAATAATATAACTTAAATATCAAATAAAATACCTTAAGCGTCTCAGACAAATCTTAAAAAAATTACACAACATATAGCAATTTAAAAACAAGTCTCAATCAACTATATTTTCAGTTGTTCAGCACTTGTAAATGTTTTCTTACCTGAACTCCAACAGAAGTTCTGGAGAAGTTTTGTCACGCAAGTGTCTAAAAACAACCCAAAACTCAGAGGTGGTAAGAATGTGTTAATAAGCTGTAGATGAGAAAGTACAGGAGATATTTTAGAGTCAAATGTTGTTTGTTTTTTTCCCATGTCATTGATTTAGACTCTTAAGTCATGTCAGCTACACCCTGAGACCAGGGTTGGGTTACTGCATGCATTTAAACTGATTTTGGTACCTGGGATTCAGTGCTGGTATCCAACAGTACCTTTTTTCTTTACTTTATTCTCTCTGAAATAACCACAATTTAATTTTGGTTGTGAAAAGCAGTCCAGATTTCCAGCTGCTGATCAAAAGTGAATGAAGAATTCATTTGCAGATACAGATATTTCCGTTTGATTTATTTTATTAAATCATGTTTTTCTTATACAAGCAAGAATTTCAGTCAGAGTGGTGTTTGCTGTGTTGATAACATTTCTCAAAGTTTTAAAGTTTTCATAAATCATATTTTTTAATTTTTTTTTATTGAGCACTGGTTTATTCATTTTAAAAATGGCTCTTATCAGCTTTTGCAAACAAACAGCAGCCGGGCATGCTGCTCTCTTTCTCTGTGCAGAGGCAGCACACTCTGCTCCACCTAGGATGCCAAATGTTTTGAAATATATAGTGCCTTTTTACTGAGGATCAACCTGGTGTTCATGCATGTATTGTGGGGAGAAAAAAAAATACTTGAAGCGTAAATAAATGCTTCAGGTCACGTTTACAGTGTCGTGAGACATGAGCATGCACAGAGCCAAAGCAGACAGCTGCGTAGATCAAATGAGTGAATCTGTTGTGTGAGATGTACAACTGAAAAAATGCTGATGCAGGAAGTTATTTTCTCACCCAGATCTGCTGCAGGTACCAAAGTCGGGTACCATTTTCAATTTGAGCTTAAAAAACTTATAAAAAAGTTTTTTCGTTTGGGGGAGGCGAAAAGTTTGTGTTATCAATAAATAGGCTACTGCAAGCTCTCCTCTACTCTTCAGAGAGCACAGAGCACTTCCTCAAAACTCTGTTTCCACTGTCAAGTGTGCTTACTGTTATTATACACTCAGTGTTTTCATTTTAGATGTGAGCAGTGCTCTTTTAACTACGTCATCTTATTGCACCCTCTTCCTCTGCAGTGGCATCTGACTGGAGAGTTACGGCCACCTATTTCTTATCGTGATGAACCAGCTCCCAGTATTAGCAAAACAGTGGTGTATTCACATTTTCCATCACTGATTTACAATTCAGTTAAAATTCTCACTACATTTGGATGGAAACCCAACTTCTGCCCCCCCCCCCCCGGTGTTCAGCCTGGAGGCCTCTCTCACACTGATTGAGGGGATAAACGCTCTAATCAATACTTTACAAATAGGAACATGACCCTCATAGACAACTGCTGGGCTGACTCAATGGAGGCGGGAAGGGAGGAGGGGGGAAGCCTAAATAAAAGTGTGTGTGTGTGTGTGTGTGTGTGTGTGTGTGTGTGTGTGGAGGGGGATAAAGTGAGGGGTTCGTGTTGCGTGTTAAACAAGAATTATAAAACCCGAACTGTGTAGATAAGATTCACATTCAGTTTTATATTTGTACTGTAATGTCTAAAGCTTTCTAAGTTTTGTCCGTCTGTTCACACTAAGCCAGGTTTTTCCACAAACAGAAATACATCTCCATATCTGTGTCTCTCTTGTGTGGATAAATCTAAAAACACCAGCCTTAGTTAAAGTGGTGAAGATTTTGGAAAACCATCTACTCGTTTCATTAACCTTTATTGATGTTTATTGAATCAGATCCTAAAAGTTTGATTCAAGTCGAGTCGTGGAACAGTAAGGCCTTCACACCTTGAACATTAAGTTATTATTCTTTTGCATTCAGTGGACTTTGTCTGTGGAACATGTGAACACACAGACTTTAAACCATCGTCAGACTCTGAAACTCAGACGGATCTTGAGCAGTCAGCTCATCCTGACATGTGTTGCGCTCTGTTCTTCGTGTTTTTTAAAAAAAAAAGCAGCAGAATGAGGAGATGTTCACCAAAGTGACATCTGTGCCTCTTTCATTGCTCTACCTGCCTCACCAGGACTCTTTCCAGCTCTGCAATTAGACCGATCCATTCACGCCGCCCCTCCAGCTCCTCTCCCCTCAGCCTTTTGTGAAAACTCGAGGGCTTTGTGTTCCAGCCTGAGCCCCTTTCACCAAACACTCTGAGAAAAGGCCAGTGCCTCGGCGTGGGGGACATCTGTTGAGAAGTGGCTTGGATTCATGTCATAGACGGGGTCATATTTTATTCACAAAGAGTTGAACCCAACAACAACAACAGTAATTAGGCAGAAATTTGGTTTGTAGCTGGGACCCAGAGTCCTGCTGACGGGATCAGTGTGGTTCCCACTGATGATTGAAGGGTTAAATACCAGTGAGTTCCAGCTGAAATGGTTTTCTGACACAACTTCATCCATGTAGGTAGTAACAGTAAAGGGAAATGACATTCCTGAAATAGTTTAATCAGGATCCATAATACATTATCACTCATACCTTTGGTCTTCATATCTCAAAACATGTGACAAACTAAAAGACAACATTTCTACCCAAATTGAATTCTGCCAAATGCTGCGTGTGAACCAAGAACGGTCCTTGACTAACATATGCTGCATTAGTGTGAGCATGTCATTTTAGGTACAAATAGGATAATCAAATCAAGTGGTGCAGGAATGAGTCCTAAAATCAGGAAATGAGTTAGCATTTTAGCACCCCCTGTTCCCTTGTCTTGAAGTCAATGGATTTTTGGTTAGATGCCTGAACTAAGTCTGTGGTTAACACGAGCTGAAGAGACTCACGTTTTGTTCTGTGACATAAAATACATCAACAGATACCCCGCTCGTGAATTTTGAAGCCTTAAGGGGTCTTAGAAAAGGCGGTTGCTAACAAGTGGCTAAGTGAGACTGCAGACGGTCATCACGCCGAACACGGCTTTACAGTCTCGTGGTTGTGAGGATTAGGTTATGTGACCATGATATGGTTTGTTTACTTAGCTTTTCACTTCTGGCGATTGCATTTACGCTTCAGAAATCATAAAAGTGGTGTTCATCTGTGAAGATGATCTCGCTAAACAAAATATGTAAGTATCCTACCACTGGCTTTTTGTTGATGGAACCAGTGCAATGTTAACTTCCATGTAGTCCATAAAAACAAACCCTGCACCACTCTATAGGGTGTCCAGTTTTAGTACCATATCCTTGATTTTGAAGGTTTATACAGTAAGACACTAAAACACTGCTCTGCTCAGAGGCTCATAATACTACCATCTATGTAAGTATTTTATCACCTCTTCCATGATCGGTAAATTGTAGCATTTTCCATCCAATTTACAAAATAATCTACTAGAAATGTCTTTGAATGCTCAACTCAGTGTGTTGGCTGCAGTATTGGTAAATCTGCAGCCAATACTTGCAAATAGACATAAGAGCATTGGTAAGGTCAGTGTGCAGTTCTGAAGAAAGACAGTTGAGTCTTATCCCCAGGTTTTCAATAGGTTTTAGCAGTAATACAGACAGCTTTGGGTCAGCAGTTGGACTGAACCACCAATCCAAAGAGTCGGTACTCGCAGACCTGGAAATGAGACTAAATAATCAACTATCTTTCTTCAGAATTACATACTGCACTTTAAAACAATGGTTTCTTCTGCCTGGAATGAAGGAAAAGGCTTCATTTTTTTCATGCAGTGATGATGTCAGTCTGAAGCAAGTGGCAACGTCTGGGGCTGAAAAATGAAGCCGACACAGAGCTGCAGTTTCTTTAATGTCCACTTGAGGCTGGCTCCAGAAACCTCTCAAACCCCACAGACTCACGTGTTAAAATGTCCAAATAAACATGTTTATAGCCTGGTACAAAAATGGCTTTGGCGTCTATTGCTAATTTCTCTGTTCATGACAACTATACAGGGGCTGAATTTGTATATAACTAACCCTTATATTTTAATTAAAGCTCGAAGTTATGCATAATTAAGGACATGCTGCTTTGACAGACAGGCTGTCAATTCTCATGCAATTGTCAATTGTCTATCACACTGACATATAAAACACCTTATAAAGTTGTTCTGGTCATCATGTTTAAACAGTTGCCTCCCACATCCAGCAGAGCAACATGTTTATTCATTTGAAGTTCTTGCGTTTGTATCCACCCAATGAATGTAATTCCAGTTTTCTGTCTCTTTTAGCTCTGTTTTTGGTCTCCACCTCCTCCCCAAAGAAATATCTGTCTCTTAAGCTGCTAAAAACTTCATGTTCACCAGCTAGTCTCTAACTCTCTGTTGTTTGCTGCTGGAAACACAGAGACTGAACTAGACAGGAAGTGTGCCGTCAATCCAAAACTAGGAGCCCAAAGAGGCAGAAATGCTTCTCAGAGCAGCAGAGGTGGAACAGGATGGTGGCCTCTAAGG